GGAAACCGGCCAAGGCCCCGCGAATCGCGACCAGACATCCGCGTTAGCGATAATTGCGCTTGCGTTCTTGTGCCGACGCGAAAAAAAAAAAAGCAAGCAGCATTCGCGTGCAACGTGTACGTACACGGGCCGTGTATTCGTATTCGTGGTGGCCCAATTCTTACAATTTACAGCCATGTCGTAACAACACACTACGTGCGTACGCGATTTCGCGATTGCTTCGAGTCAACCTCGAGACGTAGGAACGTGCAACGACCATCGAGGAAGAACGTATTTACACGACCTTAAGGCTTATGCGACGCAAATATTATGCCACTTTGCGCGTTAGGTGTCGTGTTCTATAACTTGAAACATACCTGCTGAAGCGACAACGGGACGCTCGCGTCCTCGCCTTTTGCGATAGTTAACGTGTGTGTCACATATACGTGCATGGAACATCTTACAAACATATCTTACGTACGACACTGTTAAGATGGTAACGACCTTTTGTAGGCCGCGTGAGACGCTTAGCCTTTAACCCGAGCATTTAAAACGATCAAAGGGGCGGATGAGTCTTTCTGTCTGCCAGCGCTTAACGATAACGAAGAAAAATTGTTGAAATTTTAAAATAGTAAGAGAAGCAGAAAGAAAGTAATCGTTGCTGTTGTTATTATAAAAATGTTTGTTCTCCATAATTTCTTATATTTCTCTCTTTCTCTCTCTCTCTTTTTTTTCCCCATTACATTACATTAACAAAGCGTAATATAAATTCTCGATGTTTCGTTTTTTCAATTCACGGTGAATTTCGCGACTATGTTTCAACCGCAACCCGCGACGGTCAATTACGTGCCGTTAGAACACGAATCGGAATGGGTGCTCGCCGTTGTTCTTTTCACATTTTTAGAAAGCGGTTGGAAAGTGAGAAACCGTGTACTTTCTAACAAAACTATTATAAATACAGATTAGAACGATCTTCAAGTATAAAATATTGGCCAAAATGTGTCTCCTGTTTTTATTCACCGTTCCAATTGCCCGCCAAATAACATTTTCCCGGCCGTTTCCGTTTCACTTTGCCAACGGCGAAAGAGCCATCCATCGATCCATTTACATGTCGCAGTTGATCGATCTTTCTGGCAAAAAATACTCGCCTCGTTATCGCGTAATATCACGGACTCGATGCACACAAACCGTAACTCGGTTTGCAGATACTCGATTTCGAACTCCCATACTTACCCAGTGAACTCCTTTGAGTCACGGAGGAGAAAAGAGAGTACGCATACTCTCGTGCATACTCTCGCGTGCACTTTTGCTGCGATTCTCCCAGTCATGGGATTCAACTGTCTCGCCTCTTCGACACGCATCACTTTCGCCGTGTGCATCCTGCGTAACCGATAAAAAGTTGGATTTTCACGTGATCGTTGATCGTTAACATGATCACGCTCGCGATATACTCGAGCGCCAAACGCGTGAAAATTGGGTATATCGGTGAATTTTCACGTTCCTTTCTCCGTATGGAGAAAAAAATCATTCGCTTATAAAAAAAAAAAAAAATGAAATTTCACGCGCGAATCCTTAACGCTTCACTCTGGATGAAAGAGATTGATTTTTCTCGCTTGCACGGGGGGGGAAAAAAAATTAGTTTGTAGAACTGGAAGCGTGACAGGGAAACGCGTTTCTTTACCCCCCTGTTGCATCCAGCTGTACGACTCCTGTGCACTTGTCGCTACCCTCGTTCCCTTGACCCTCTCCAAACACATAAATTCTCCTCTTCCCCCTGTTGCGCTGTCTCCCTTCCCCCGTCTCTCTCTCTCTCTCTCTCTCTCTCTCTCTCTCTCTCTCTCTCTCTCTCTCTCTCTCTCTCTGTTTCTCTCTCTGGGTTAGGGCCCCACGGAAATAGATTCGAGACCCGACTCGACGTCGACTCCTCTCTTCTCCCTTTCGCTCCCCTTCCACGCCTGTTGGTCGAAGAAAAACAGGTGCAGCGAATCGATATCCGACCATGGTATTGCCATCCATGCATCTTCGCTCCGTATGATCGACCACGATACACGATTTATTTTCTTCCTCTTCGCGTCTTTTTTATTATTTTTTTTTTTTCGAATCGATTCTATCCAATGAATTTTATCGTTGGTTATCTACAATACGATGGTAGGAGATCACGGTTCCCTTCCTATATATATTATACTATATTCGGTTATTGGTCGAAATATTCGAGGAATTGGAATCGTTTGGAAAAACAAACGGCTCTACTTATCATTTTAAACGCGTATCAACATGCGATCCTTACGATTCTTTTATTATTATTTTCCAAACTCGTGCTCGTATACACTTTCGTTCAATTTATCTTAATTTCGAACGACAGAAAAAAATAACAAATATATATAATTACTCTCTCATAGATATCATTGATCGATCGCTAAGTCGTCTTCAACTTTGAATATCCAAATTTATCCAATCTCCTCATAAAACATCTACTCGATCTTTCGACTAGAAAAAAAAGAAAACGATCCAATATTCGCGATAAAAATCTAGCAAGAAGCGGAAAAAGGGACGAAGATCGAAATGGCGCGCAACACTTTTGAATTAGGCGAGATCGCGTATTGAAAAATCCTGAATATTCTTGGCTCTCTCCGTATCCATCGTTTCCAGATAACAAAGCTTTCGCGCCCAACGTTCGAACCACAAGATGGCCACTTTTAATAACAAAGACCGCGTATATACCGCTTACGATATCGCACCCATACACCCACGTCCTCCCCTCCCCTCCCCTCCCCTCCTCGATCGTTTTCGTTTGCCTCGCGGCCGGTGATAGTGCGGCCACGTAACGAGAGTGTTGACATTTTCTGCAATCGGGTCAGGGCCCCCTGTCGAGCCGCTCCGGCATTACCTATAACCCCTCCCGAGGCGAGACACGAGCGCCACTGTGGAACAACTAAACTGCGGATGCCTCGCGGAAATGGCCGCGGAAATGGGATGTGGGGGGAGAGAGAGACAATGGACGGAGGGAAATGCGCATGGAGTCGAAAAAAAATATGGATGGATAATATTTGGAGGCGAGAATTATAAGAAATATTTCTTCTTCGAAAAGGAAATGAAATTCTTTGGAAATTCTTTCTTTGTATACTTTTACCTTGCGTTACGTTGATTACGTTTCGCGGGAATATCGCGTACGTACGTGAGCATAAGTGAACGAAGTAGCGATCTTCTGTAATTTTTCCTCTGTCTTTTAGGTATTTATGAAGAGGTAATTGGTAATTGGAGGGAACGAGGGTTAAATTTGTTCTTATCCCTCGATCGAAAGATTAATAAATTAATAAGCGTGAATGAAAATATTAAATCGAAGAAGCACGATTGAAATTACGAATATTTCAATATTTTCCACGCATTTTCTTTCTCTGGTGTAGTTACTCGCTTCGCGCAAAAATATTTAAAAAAAAAAATAAAGAGCAAAGTTTTACGCAGTTACACGCAGAGATTTATTTACCGG